AAATTTAGTTTTAGTCTATTATTATTACTTATATTTAATTAGTTATTATTATTTAAAGTTACTTTTTCTAACTTTAGGGTAGTAGCTCTTTTTTTTTTGGCCTCACTTTTGTAACGCTACTGTACGTGATAATATCGCGGCTTTCTAAGTTCCACCATTCTCATCTGGTATCTCGTGGCATTTGTCATATCGAGTCTGACCGAAGGGTTAGCTATCGAGTTTGCCAATTATCATGGCAACTTGAGCGAAACCTTTGTTGACAGGATATATGCCATCTTCTCGATGCCAGTTTGAGCCCAGCGACTGTCGTTGAGGGCCAGACAAATCAGTGCCTGTAATACGTGGGAGTTTGAAGCACTCCGCCGTTTATCACCCCCTTCGGTCTTCTTGCTCATGGGCCGCGGTCACGAACCAAGTTAGAGAAATAAGATGCTGAAAGAATTCGGCTCAATGACAAGTAGTATTTTCTGTCTTGTGGAGATGCTGAGTGATGCTCGAGGTGCGGCCGCTAACAAAGCAGCTGTCGCGAGCATCTCGGCTTGCGCAGCCCCGTCTGAGGAAATAAATGTATGTATTGAGCTTTACACCCTTCATTAGGTTCAAAGGTGCACCGCGATTCTTGACGCATCTTTATTCGACCGAGTGCGATACTTTGTCCGTAGTAATTTGATATGAAGTTTCTGACTATTGTCGCTGCCTTTGTTGGTGTCGCAAGGGCTGCGCCGCTGATTGCCATCCATGACGGCTCTGATGTCACTGTCGTCTAGCCCTTGATTATCGAAACCCAGGGCCATTCTGGAAATGTAAGCTGCAAAGTCTCTGCACCCAACTGAGCTGGGCCCAACTGAGATGGGCGGTGATAGCCCGGGCTTGTAGAAGCCCTCGGCTGCGGATACCTGGGGATGCAACGGCGGACCCTTTGATGATTGTGACAATAGTGTTCACATGGCCGCTGTTGCACGTATCTGCGCTGGCTTCTCCGCACTACTTTGCTTCTCCCTGGTGGCAACGTATAGCCTAGCGTTCCTGCTAGCTCTTATTTTACCGCGGATCCCACGGATCACCACAGCCGCCTTGTACACAAGCATGAGGTTAATGGCCGAGGCTATGCGTCTATGCTTTTTACTACGACGATGTAAATGCTGGCAATAAACGAGTCTGGGACTGTATCATCCTGCCGACCAAAGATGCTCACAATCTACGTTGGCAGTTACTCAGCCTGAACATACGAGTTGGCGCTTCTATCAAGATTCCCAGCGGGCAGAATAGTACATGTTATTTCCATATATTAAACAGCTTTAATTGTCTGTACCCCCTGCATGGAAGGCTGAATCTGTTGAGACTTTCGATAGGATCGTGTCAGTCAAACCTTTCTTGTGAGTGACTGTAAAAAGGGGTTGTGGGGAAGTTAATGGCGGCTGCGTAGCTAAGCTGCGACCGTAGAAACTCGAGTGGCGCTGATATCTTACAAAAAGAAAATATGACGTGTGGGATGGCGGGATAGCCATTATTAATAATTCTTCTATGGTAGTCTCCGCCGAAAAGAACCTACCAGCGCCTAGCGGCGGACGGAGTATGGCAATCATTATTAGTAATGAGCTTTGAAGTGTGCCAAGACGCATCGATATATTTTCTCGAGCTTCATCTTCAATCTTTTTTCTTTCTTTTTTTTCTTTTCGTTACCCATCTTGAAACATCTATTCAAAATGACAGCCTTCAACATCAAAGTTGTCTCCGACACTGTGTGCCCGTGGTGCTTTGTTGGCCACCGACAACTGGAGCAAGCCATCAAGCTCTGGCACAAGAAGCACCCGGATTCCAAGGACACCTTCAATGTCGAATTTTTTCCCTACCAACTCATGCCGGAGTTTCCGCGAGGATCCGGCCAGAGCACGGACAAGGAGACACTTTACAACGCGAAATTTGGCGCCGTGCAAAGACAGCAAATCAGCCAGAGGCTCACAGCTATCGGCGCACCTCTCGGCATCAACTTTCGCTGGGGCGGCAACGTCGGCAACACGCGCGACTCTCATCGATTGATTGAATTGGCCAAAAAACATGGCAGCAAAGTTCAGCAAAAAACCGTTGACGGTATTTTCTCGGCCTACTTTGAGAAAGAGCAGGACATCACTATGCACGAGGTCCTCGGTGAGATTGCCAAGTCGGCAGGCATTCCGGAAGGTGATTTCAGAAAGGCCATTGTGGAAAGTGACGAGTATGGTGCCCAAATCGACAAATCTGTTGCGGAGGCGAGGGCAAATAGCGTCCAGGGCGTTCCTGACTTTACTATCCAGGACAAGTTCAAGTTGTCTGGGGCGAGAGACGCAGAGGCCTTTATTTCGCTGCTGGAAAGAGTCAAGCAAATGAATTAATAAAGAAAATTGATAGTTTTAGCCCTACCTATTAATAAATAACCTCCCGAATCAAATCACGAGACATTGTGAGTTGTCGTTCCCGGAGTTATCGTGTTGGAACGGCTGAAGGGAATGCCCGCCGCCCGCGAACACGCAAAACCTTCTCCCAAAGTAGTTTCTCGGCGAACCCAGGTACATAGAACAGTATGCCTAGCTCCTGGCTGGTCCACCAACTAGCTCTGTCCATGTTTCCAGAGCCCAGCAGCAGATAGCTGTCGTCGACCATTGTCATTTTAAAATGGCTCACAACGGGCTCGTCTGATTGATCCTCTCGCTCGAGACGATGTTGATAGTAGTATATTTCCAGCTTTCCGAGCGGATGGAGCTGAGCCTCAAGGTCAGCTCCGGCTTGGCGACTACGAACGCTGGCCATTCTTGTATACGTTTTCATCAATCCGTTCATACAACGGCTGGTGGTGGTGCCACAGGTGGCGAGCTGCTCGATAAGCATCATAGATTGATTGGTTCTGATTTCAACGGACACGCCCCGTTCAAGTGCGGAGACTATGGCTTTGATCACAGGCTTTGATGTGACGTTTGGTGTTATCAACACGATGCTGCTTTGCGCGTTCGCGAACAAGGTTAGAAGCGCGGCGTTTAATGGTGTCATTGGAGGGTTCGGCTTCCTGAGAAACGGAATCCAGCTGAAACCAGGATTCCGGTGATGAGATGAAGGCAGAAGAATCGTCGGGATGGGCGATCCTGGGGTTAGCCTCACTGCCTGCGTCGGCGACATATCATCGACAGAAGCAACGAGGGACGCATTGGTATCGCCGCTGCGAGAACCAGTTGCGGGCCGCTCCGTTCCTGTATCTGGATATTGTGGATAATGTATCGATGCCATGTTAGATTGGCTTGTGCCCAAGCCCCAAACGCGCTCATGAAAGGAGAGTAAAGACTGTACGGCACCACCGTGTAAATGAATGCAGCCCTCGAACCACTTCTCCCAACTGACATTGCAACTTGGTACCCAAGCCTCAGCCTCATCTACAATGAGGTACTTTGGATGCATGACGCTGAGAGGTGTGAAAAAGAGTGTTTTGACAGTCAATTCTATTGACCCGCTCTGCAGTGTCTGCTGGTCCGGCAGCTTCAGCGCTTTCCATTCAGAGGGCGAATACACGTAGCCATTTCTCGATGATGTATGAAATAGCTTTTGAAACAGTCCGCGAGAAGAGAAGCCAATGGTAATGTGAAGCGTGGGCAGGCCGCTCTGGCTAGCACGCGACGCCGCCAGCTCAAAGAGCGTGGCGCGGATCGAGTTGGCCGTAGGAGAGTCTGCCCAAAAGCAAGTGACCAAGTGAACCGAATGCTTGGCATTGCGAATGGCTGGTAAGAGAGCGCGCTCGTAAATGGTGTGTCCAGTGCCAACGTAGAGGTCTGTCGGTATGCTGGTGGTGATGAGAGAATCAATTGTGGCTGAATTGTACGCAGGAAAGTCATCGGCCTGCTCCTGTTCATGCGCGCCGATGCGTTTTCGCCAAGGTTCGAGAAAGGACGCAGGAAAGCCTGACGCCATTGCGCCTTGAGTAGACAATTGTGGTGAGAGGACAGATTAAGAAGGACGACACCCTGGATTGTGCCACGACGAAGAGCACCCAGGTATCGTGTGTCTGTAGCGCTTGTTCCCTATAATACAGGGCTTGATAACTACAATACAGGGGAGTCATCAACTTGAATCCACCGACCAACTACCCGCTGTAGGCCCCAGAAAACGCGGAAGCGGCTGCGCCTCCTCGTGGTCCCTCACCGCCCTGTCTACCTTGCCTAGGTAATTATTCGCTCTTGGCAGAAAGCTGTCCCTGGTGATGCCCCTCAGAAGTCGTCGCCACGATTCGTCACCAATCTGCGCCGACTAGCCGACTTAACAGTCGTCATCAAAATGCTCTCTGGCGTGTTAATATTCAATCAAAAAGGTGAAAATCTCATCTTCCGCGCCTTCCGCAATGACTGCCGACCGCGCCTCGCGGATGTCTTTCGCATCCAAGTCATATCGAATGCTCAGGTCCGCTCCCCTATCTTGACACTTGGCAGCACAACATTTAGCCATGTCAAGCACGAGAATATCTACCTCGTGGCAATCACAAAGAGCAATGCCAATGCTGCGCTGGTATTTGAATTTTTGTACCGCTTGATACAGTTAGGCAAAGGCTACTTTGGCAAGTTTGATGAGGAGGCTGTCAAGAACAACTTTGTCTTGGTGTACGAACTATTAGACGGTAAGCAGGAGTAGCAGCAGAGGCAATTACCGCATTACAAGCTGACGACTCTAGAAATAATTGACTTTGGCTACCCACAAAACACCGAAACCGACACGCTGAAGATGTACATTACCACAGAAGGCGTCAAATCCGAGTCGCGACCAGAAGACACATCCAAGATTACGATGCAAGCCACGGGCGCCTTGTCATGGCGCAAAGCCGACGTACGATACCGAAAAAACGAAGCCTTTGTCGATGTTATCGAAGATGTCAATCTGCTCATGTCAGCGACTGGCGCTGTCCTGAGAGCCGACGTCACGGGCCAAATTATCATGCGAGCGTACCTTTCCGGCACACCTGAATGCAAATTCGGCCTGAATGACCGACTCCTTCTCGACAGTGATGGGTTAAAGTCTCTAGAGAGTGGAAACAAGCTCGGATCCAAAGCAACAAAGGCAGCAGCAGGCAGTGTCACCTTGGAAGACTGCCAATTTCACCAATGCGTTCGATTGGGCAAGTTTGACAGCGACAGAATCATTAGTTTTGTCCCTCCCGATGGCGAGTTTGAGCTCATGAAATACCGCGCGACGGAAAACGTCAATTTGCCTTTCAAGGTCCACGCAATCGTGAACGAAATTGGCCGCTCAAAGGTAGAATACAGCATTGGCGTCAAGGCCAATTTTGGGCCCAAGCTGTTTGCAACGAATGTCATTGTCCGCATACCAACGCCGCTCAACACTGCCAAGATAATAGAACGATGCACCCAGGGCAAGGCCAAGTATGAGCCAAGCGAAAACTGTATTGTTTGGAAGATTGCCCGCTTCACCGGCCAGAGTGAATACGTATTGAGCGCCGAGGCCATACTCACGAGCATGACGAATCAAAGGGCTTGGAGTCGGCCGCCTCTGAGTCTAAACTTTAGCTTGCTCATGTTTACAAGTTCAGGCTTGCTTGTACGGTACTTGAAGGTGTTTGAAAAGAGTAATTATTCCAGCGTCAAATGGGTCAGATACATGACGCGGGCAGGCTCATACGAAATACGGTACGCCCACAACTCATTCATGCTGACAAATTCTAATTTTGAACCAGATTTTAATGAACGGAAATAAAAATGACACACAGTGAGGGAGGGCTTGATGCCTGCTGCAATTCTACAAGCATAAAGATACGCCCCATTCGGAAGCCCGGCTGTCGCCTGTGCTACAATCGGGCATTTTGCCCATGAGGGCAGGTTCTTTGTATCTGTTTCAGGCTTGCCGGATCACAAGCCCATGCTACACATGAAGTCTCACTGATTCAGAGACGTTCTCAGCGACAGCATGGACAAGATATATACTCAATTCAATATTCTGGCAAGCACCTGGCCTTGAATCAAGATGAAGGATAGATATTTCTTGCCTATGATTGAAGTTCCACCGTTTGTGTGGTTTCCTCTTCCTCTTTTTGAAGAACAGCCACGTCTGTGACGGCGGCGTCGATTCGTGGGCCGGCGTAGTTTTTACGCCCATCAACAATCCATTGAAAAATTGAGATTGCGAGAATAATGGCAAACGCAACAATGCAATAATCTGAAGCTACAGTCAGCGCTCGTGTACAGCTGTTGGCAGAGACGCACATACTCATATTGCTGCCTGTAACGTGTCGTTGGGGAGGGAAAACAAAAAGAACGGTAGTGATGGCGATGTATGACAGTGCAATGATGTCGCAAGTCCACCCCAGCCACATTGGTAGCTTCCAATCGCGGTCAGGAAGTGTCTTTCTTCCCTGGAGGCAGTTGACGGCGATTGGCATGGCGTACGAGAGGTCAAGGGTGACAACAGCCGCCGAGATGATGGCGTTGAATGCGCTACAATTTGGATGAAACGTCAGTGTGAGTTTACCTGATAGCCGGACGCCGGGTACAACTCACTTTGTAGACGCAATGTTGATGACGCCGAAAATGGCAACCACAACAGACGTCAACAAAAGAGCATTCAGAGGCAAGCCCAAGCGCGGATGGACTCGGGCCAGGAATTTGGAAGCAGGAAGACCTCCATCTCGTGCAAATGCAAAGATCATTCGACTGCTGGTTGTCATGACAGAAATGGTGGCAAAGGCCAGACAGACCAGCGGAAACATGAGGAGGCAGATGGCCCCCGCAGTGCTTTTGGTGGCGTTGATCAGGATCTGGAGAAGGGGCCCTGCGCTCGATTCGATGACTTGCTGAATGTCTCCTGCGACGAAGAGTAGGACGACGAGGAAGATGGAGCCAGTGGAAATGCCAATACCGATGCAGCCGACCATGATCCTTGGACCCTTTTTGGAAGGCTGAGGTATTTCTAGCTTTGTTTTAGTATGAGTTGAGTAGGCAAATCAGGTATTTACGCACCCTCAATCATATGTGCAACAGAGTCCTTGTAACACGATTAGCTTCCCATGTGCGATTAAGGCTTGATTTACTTACAAAAGCTGTGAGACCAAGACCACCTTGAAGCAGCTGAAGAAGAGTTAGTCAATGGCGCGGATAAGTTCAAATTTTTTTTTTCAAATCCATCTTCTTACCCCGAGAAGCCAAGCCACGCCGTCTGGCCATCCTGTTTTATTGATAAACTCGGTAAAGACGAATTTACCAGAGTTATAGTTTGGCGACGCACAAGCCAGTGCTGTAATGGACACGACGGCGAACCCTCCCAGTGACCAAAATAAAGCACCCTTGTATATCCTGGGCAGAACAGAGTTCATAAATGCGTTGAGGAGGAACGCAATGAGTGTGAAGCCAATGTATACCAGAAATTGCTGCCAATTTGTGACTTGATAGCCCTGCGTCATTCAGATCAGAGACGTGCATGAGTGTGTAACAAGGGTAAAAAGGACTCACCGACTTGGCATACACGACACCCACGATCAATTGACTAGACAAAAGTGCGTTGGTAGCAACGAGAGCGACCTAAAAGCACGGTCAGCATGGCCGAAGAGCCTCTCACGTCGAGTCGACGGCATCCTCACCCATCCTACGACGTTGACCCAGCCGGTTACCCATGACAGAATGGGGACCCATTCTGGCCAAGAAACTATAATTAGCTGTTAGCTAGCGCCTGGAGAGAGATGTTGCCGAATCTGAATCAACATACTAGCTGCTGCATGTGTCAGTTGAAACTGTGCTTTTGCGGGTGTTTTTTCCCAAGGTGTGTGTGTGTGTGTGTGTGTGTGTGTGTGTAACTGACCTGCGACCCAATGGTATTGGCCACCAGCGCTAGAAGATGCGGTTAGCCGGAAGTGCAGATACGAGACTTGCGCGAGGAGGGGGGGGGAGGGGAGCTACGCACGTTGGGTATGCAGACAGAAATTCCGCTAATGATGTTGCAATACACAGATTGCAGACACCCGCAGTTACCAGGCCTTTGAGAGTTTTTCCCGAGTTAGAAGGATATAAGTCGCTTCCGTTGACGTGGCTACTCAGTACAGCACTCACCCCACACAATACTGGTGCTCCCACCAGAAGACAGGCTGACGCTAAGGCTGGCGGAAAGTGCTGTCCAGGACTAGTGATCGAGTGCCACGTCAGTCGAAATGGGCTTTTCGATGACGAGGCATGCCCATCGATCGTTCTATTGACTGGGTATATCGTGCAGCAACATGACATGGGAAAAAAGATGCCAGACTCACATTCAACACGGCAAAGGCCAGCCCCAACATGGAACTAAATGGTTCGCAAGTGACCGTCCCTGGTCAGTTTTCTGAATCATGATGAGCTGTGGGGGATAAAATTTACAGCATGGAGAAATTGCGATTCAGCTCAGCCTTGTGGCCCATGGCCGCGAGCTGGGCGTCATCTTCCTGTATACTCGACTTGCGCATGACGTTTCTTTTGCCGATAAATTTGCTTGCAGTACACTGCCTTTTTTTGAGGTAGCAGTAATGAAAAGAACTGTGAGATGGGAAAAGGTTTGGCCACGCTTACTTTGAGGAGGGGTTTGGTTTTTTTCTTTATGATGGCCTTGCCCCGTTCAATACATGCAGGCGGACGAGGCTCCGTAGTAATAATCTGGGGTCAAAGCCGGCGCCTTACCGACATGGACGATGAGAGGATGCATAAACTTGGGGGCTTGGGGCGGGAAGCGGAGCCCCTCAAAGCCCGCACCGAATTCTTGGGAGATGATGAAAAAGCCGACGGCAGTTATAGATCCCGGCCTAGGAAACCAGTTCCGTCCTTTAGTTCTTGGGGGTGGCTGATAAAAAACAGCGCCTTACACTACAGATGGGCTGCCCCATTCTCACGCATCTAGCCAAGCTTTGATAAACTTGCACACGTGCAAAGTTTCGACGAAAGCATATATATTTTTTTAGAGTATATATTAAAGGCCAATATGACATTTTAGTTCATCGTACTCCGTAGACTAGTCAGTGATGACTAGCATAGCATAGCTTTATTAGTAGTCTCAGCTTGGCAAAGTGATATAAGACAATTGCCGCCCCGCCGATAAGCTGCAGGTCTTTGAGCGACGGTCCTTGGGAGCAGCCACATCTCTGTGTACATGATCTATCTCCCCCCGCCTGCAGCTGAGCACTATCGACTAATTTAATACGGGATCCGCGGGCAGATTCTGTGAACAATCTCTCATCAATCGGAGCTGGATTGGCAGCCCGCGGACACCGTCACCGAGCTATATATCCGTAGAGCCCTGGTGAATCATATGAAGTGGTGTGGAGGAATCAGATTGTCTTGGGCGTCGAAAAAAAAGACTGAGTTAGCATTTCAATTTTACTGCCTCGGAAACTTCAAAATGCCCCGTCTTCGTCAGATTGCTACGGCCGGAGTGGCAGCCAGCCTGGCAATCCCAGCAGCCGGTCTTGTAGCAAGAAATGCGACTGGTGATGGAATCTGCACAAAAACAACGGTTGCTATTTTGTGAGAAACCTTGTACAAAAACGTCACAGTAGCCTACGCCTACTAATGAATGACTTTTCCCAGGGGTGGTGGCATGGCGGGCATTTCTGCTGCGGTAGGCTGACCTCGAACCCGTTTTCAGTTTGCGGAATGCGCTAATAGTGCGAGAATAGCAAGCACTCACGAACAATTCAATCAGCGACTTTCTGATTCTCGAATACAATGATTACATTGGTGGTCGCGCCCAGCATACAACTTTTGGCAAACAGGAAGACGGTTCGCCGTATACTGTTGAGCTCGGCGCTAATTGGGTGAGTCGAGATAATACTGGTTACCGGGCCGTCGCTGATATTTTACTGACTTGTCATGGTAACTAGATTCAAGGCCTTGGCCAATCTGGTGGACCCGGTATGTCGCAGGAAACACCACAAAAAAAAAAAAGGAAAAACTACAGATAAATACGCAAAGCTGACTTGACATGCATCAGAGAATCCCATTTGGACCCTTGTAAGCCAAACGAGTTGACGAGTGTTGTTGCAAAAGTCCTACCTACACCACATTCACTTACACCATTTAATTACAGGCTAAAAAGTACGGACTCAAAAACACCTTTTCCAACTACAGCTCGATTCTCACCTACAACGAGACTGGACCTTCAGATTATACGCATCTACTAGACGAGTACAACGAAGCCTACGAAAAGGCTTCAGCCAATGCGGGACGTCTGCTCGCCGAGAATCTGCAAGATCAGACAGCCCGTGCGGGGCTGGCATTAGCCGGATGGAACCCCAAACACAGCGACATGGCCGCTCAGGCGGTTGAATGGTGGAACTGGGGTAAGTAACAAGCTTGCAAGTGTTGTTGTTGTTGACGACTTGTCCAACTGGCTTACTTTGCTAAACTAATTTTTTTTTCTTTTTTTTTTGGCGCAACACAGATTGGGAGAGTGCCGTTTCACCGGAGCAATCGTCTTTAATCTTTGGTGTAGCAGGAACGAACCTGTCCATGAATCAATTCAGCAATGAGAATAACCTCGTCATCGACTCGCGCGGCTACAACTACATCATCCGACAAGAAGCCTCTACCTTTTTAAAGGACAACGATGCTCGACTTCGCCTAAACAATCACATTACAGACATTCACTATTCCGATGATGGCGTTACGATTTACAGTGATGATGGTAGCTGCGTATCGGCGGCGTACGCCATCTGCACCTTTTCGGTCGGGGTGCTTCAAAACGACGTCGTGACCTTTACGCCCGAGCTGCCCGAGTGGAAGCGCACCTCGATCCAGAAATTCACCATGGGCACCTACACCAAAATCTTTATGCAATTCAACGAAACCTTTTGGCCGCAGGATACACAATATTTCCTGTATGCTTCGCCGACCAGGCGCGGCTGGTATCCCGTCTTCCAGTCGCTCTCGACCGAGGGCTTCATGCCGGGTTCCAACATCCTCTTCGTCACCGTTGTGGCGGGCGGCTCGTACCGCGTCGAGCAGCAGACGGACGAGGAGACAAAGGCAGAAATCATGCAGGTGCTGCGCGACATGTACCCCGACACGACCGTCCCGGAGCCGACCGCATTCATGTACCCGCGGTGGACCAAGACCCCGTGGGCCTACGGAAGCTACTCGAACTGGCCTGCAGGTACTACGCTCGAGATGCACCAGAACCTGCGCGCCAACGCCGGCCGTCTCTGGTTCGCCGGCGAGGCCACCAGCGCAGAGTACTATGGCTTCCTGCACGGCGCCTGGTTCGAGGGGCGCGAAGCCGGCTACCAGATTGCCTCGGTCATGCAGAATAAGTGCGTAGAGGTGTACAATGATGGTACGCAGTTTTGCGGCGAGACGCGTCCGCATTATGAAAAGCTGCACGGGACGTCGCCGCTGCAAAACTACAATGTCCTGAATGGCTGGGCGACGAGCAGCTTCTATTCCAGTGCTGCTGCTGCTGCTGCTGCCAAGGACGCAGAGTGATGATAGTTGGCCAAGTCAAGTGCCGAAGGAGGGGGGGGGGAGGGGGGTGTCAGCATACGCGTGATACAAGGCCGTCTGCGACTTGAGTTGTGGCTTTCTTTTACTTTCTTTTTTCTTTTTTTTTTAACGGATTAGCGTAATAACAAACGTTCCTCTGTATCCGTATCTTTTTTGGCCTCGAATGTTGAATGGTTCAAAAGAGCGTGCAGAATCAAGTGTACACACCTGTCACAGATGTCTCAGCCGCCGCGCTCCCCCCCCACCCCCCGGGTTCCCACACACTTTTTTTTCCCAAGCATTCGGAACGGAGGAAATGACAGCAGCTCCTGATCGCACATGTACAATTTTTTTTTTTCATTCTTTCCTTATCGTTGTGTTGCGTGACAGACCGAGGATCCCGGGGATACAGCGCAGTTTTACCAGCATCTGAGTGGGCAATCCAAGGGAGGCGCATGCACAAAGAGAGCCCCAGCACCGAAAATCTTCGCAAACTTGGACACGGCAAAAGGAGCATATTCGTTGTTCGTCACCCGATGCTTCTTCCTCCATCCGAAACAATTTTTTTTTTTTACCCCCCTCGCGTCATAAAAATTTGCCCATCGTAGAAAAAAGTACGAGCTAAAAAATCCAACCAGGTACCCAGATCCCTGGTTTTTTTTGCTTCGGGTCCGAGAGTTGGCGCAAAACGGGGCGCGCCTCGGACAAAAAAAAAAACAAGACGCCCGCCCGCCCACCCCTTTGGTCCGCCGCCGCCACCTCCGACCCAGCTTCCTGGGACCTGTGTCGCGTTTCACGGCATCAAAAAAATTCCACCCCATTTTTCGTCGTAAAATAGATGCACACTGTGAATAGTAATCTTTTCTCAACAAGTTTCTTTTGATTTCATCACTAGACTATTAGAAGCTAGACATTTTCTTTTTTACACCAAACTAATCGCAGTCAGATATGACCACCCTTTTCATGGACGGGGTCTACACGGGTAGCCGCAGATGGGTGTATATAAGTCATCTCTCATACCTTTACCACTAGCCTTGTACTCGAGAAAAGTTGTTTTGAATCAGCATAACGCACCTACACACTACCTAGGGCCTTATTCTCTACATCCTTTTTCCCTTTTCAAATAAACCTTCTCACCACCCATCATGTGCCGTGGACACCCCAAACATCATCGCTGTGCCCATACCAGCGTATCTTGGTACTATTGTCCTTCTGCGTACCTTGATATGGGGACCGGTGCCGTCAGTCCTTGTGGAAACCCAATCATGAACGATTCACAGCCGACAAAGGCCGCCTGCCCGCTCCAGCATTGCCGGTTTTCCACCAAGGGTAGCAGCTGGGTGTGCTGTCAATGCAATCAAGGCCCGAACACGCAGGGCTGGTGCACACAAAAACTCACTACTCAACAAATTGGACTTGATTCCCGTGCCAGCGGTCAGCTTCAAATGACGTGCGATCATGGCTGCTGTGAGAACTGCACTGGACTCAGTATGTTACACCTTTTGCCCACAAACTATAGAGACCCTTGCGCTAATAACGGAGCAAAAAAAATAAAAGGCCCAGACGGGACTTTTGCGACTTCATGGTCAGCAAATTCTTCTTCTTCCTACGACAGTGCAAGCTCCCCATCAAGCTCTTCCGATGGAACAAACATGTGGGTATCTTCACCGCCGTCTTCCAACGCACTTTCCGACTCGGGCTCAGACCATGGAAGAACCAAACACAGCAGTCGGGGCAAGAAGCACCCAACCAAGAAGCCCAGCTCAAGAAGGCACTGAAATTGCTTTACCCACAATGTGTTACTATATACTATTGCTTTATTTGTATCTATTGATCGTTCGCTGTACTTATTCTGTACTTGTCTGTACTTAGCTATCGTGTCTTTTATTTATTTCAAGATACTTTCCCTGATCTGAGCATGGGGTTCGCAGTCGAATACTCGGATATAAATTTGTCAAGTTCTGTTTCTACCTAGTATAAAATGTTCTAGAGTACATAGCGAAAAGATGGCCCGTAATTCTCCTCACCTTCTGCATTCTCAGCATCTTCGACCGTCGGACATTTTTCCGCCAACTTGCGGTTCTCCCACATCAGTAACAACCGAAGACACAATGCCAAGAGTGCAGTAAACCCCATAAACGCAGCACAGATTGCGTGGCCTTTTGTATAATGAGGCCTCTCGCTCTTTGGATACAAGCGAGTCCCCAGTAGCGGACCACATTGCCCGACAAGATTCAACAGCACGATGCCGGCTCCACGGCGCTCATCGTTGCCTTGATTACTCAGAACCCATGGCAAAATATTCGCAATGGTCGGAAAGAGACCAACTGCCGCAAGGTAAACTCCACCATAGCGCACTGAACTGCTGCTGGCCGCTGCAAGCATAATGTATCCTGCACTGGCAATGAGGGCCAGGGTGATGACCGTCACTCCTCTTTGCTGTGTGCGATCGGCAATAAACGTGGAGGCAATAGTGACAAGGAAAGATATGAAATACGGCGGAGCTGACAATCCTTGCGCATCCAGCCCAGAGTATCCTGTTACGTATTAGAAAAGCTCAGCCAAATAGTGCGTAAATCGAGACGTACCCAAGTCCTCCAAAATGGTTGGCAGGAACACAGGCAGGGACGCGTAGGAAACGTTGCACGAAAAATACATGACCGCCGTTAACCAAGCCTTCAAATCAAGAAAAGTCGAAAAAGTCTGTTCCCAGCTGAATTTACCCACACGAGGCCCCTTGCCTGCTTGCCGAACCCCTCGCGCCAGCGCCACTCTCTTTTCATCTTCATCAAGAAACCAAGCATCATGCGGGGAGCTAGGCATGGCAAAGTATGTCACCACCGACATGATCAACACCGGTATTCCTTCGACGAGAAAGAGTAATCTCCAATTGGCCAGGTGAGAATGACCGGAAGTGATTGCATACGCCAACGCGCCGGCAAAGCAGGTGGCGAGCGGTGCGGCGGAGAAGAATATACCGATGCGCAGTCCGATTTCCCGACGAAGGTAAAAGAATGAAAGCAAGTAGATGGTTCCGGGACCATAGCCAGCCTCAAAAGTTGCCAGCAATGCACGGCAAACCATCATGCCTGCAAATGACTGAGTTGCGGCTTGTGCAGTAGCAGCGATGCCCCAGCCCAGAACAAGAATGGGAACCCAAGTTCGAGGCGATATGACTTTGTACATAAAGGTCAGCGGCTCAGCGATGATGTAGAAGATGTAGAATATGGTCAAGAGCCACTGGTATTGGCCGCTGCTCAGCGACAAGTCCTTGTCCATCCCGGCGACTCGTGCATTGCTTCATTCAAGGGGGCAGATTAGCAAAGCAGGACCAGTTGATGAGAGCATCGGTTGCAACGCACCCAATGTTTGAGCGATCCAAGAAAGCAAGAAGGACTGATATGTGGGCATAATTAGCAACGTCAATGAATATGATGCTTGAATATGCAGGGGACTTACAGAGAAACCATAGAAGTGACAGGAAGTTCCTGTCCAGTTTTCTGACGACCCTGAGCTCGAGGGCCGCAGCATCCGAGTCCGCCACTGGGGCCGCTTCGGCCACGCTCAAGTCATCGTGCGATTTGACAGACATGTCGTAGAGAGAACTGTTAATTCAAAAGCCTTGTGAGTATACTCTCTAGACTTGTCTGGTGCAAGGAATTGAAATACTCACGCCCCAAGTGCGCTTTGAGGGGATATTGCCTGGTCTCGGACGATTGACAGCGCACAGACCTAGTATGCTCGTACCCAGCACAATCTGATGCAGTGTTGCTTCGACTCGCAAAACTCCAATTCAATACCCCAGTGTCGTGGTCGCTATATTCTAGGCCAGTATTTGGACTTGAATGCCAAATCTGTATCTGGGTGAGCAAGGGCGCCACTTGACCACGCCAAGGCGGCAACTGGCTTTCGGGAGAGGCTGCGAGGCGTCTGATGGAACTCTGTACTCAAGCCACAGCCGAAGTCGGCAGCTCATGACAGTTCTGTGTGTCAAAGCGGCTAGCGCAGTTGTAGTAAACGAGCACCAGCAACACGTAATTTGATGGATTGATCCGAGAGGCGGGCAAAGCGGGCACACGCTGGGGGAAGTGGGATGAAGCTTGCTCCACAGCGAGCAGCCAAATACTGGGTAATTTGGCGATTGCGGGGAAGTGGTCAAAACAAATGCCTCCTTTTATTTTTCATTTTTCATTTTTTCTTTTTTGAATCTTTCATTTGAGATGGATGCATATTTACTCTCCAACATCCATTGGCCACCTTTCAAACCTTTTCCGCCCCAGCTTTAGACTGCAGCTCAGAGAGCAGCGAGACAAAGCTAGCCTCTCCGTGCCCTGCAAGCTGTTTAAACACGGGAAGCTGCTCACGAATCCATTCAGCTTCCTCTCCTGCCACGGGAATCGTGAATCCAGCCTCGCGTGCCGTGACAATCGGCAGCATTCCAATCGCGTGAAGCCTAGTCTCTGGATCCTCCACCAAGTAAGGATGTTCTGACGTCTTTGCACCCTTGCCGACAACGTCGTACCACGCGTCCTCCAACTCCTTGGCAACTTGGTCGAAATCTGCCTTGGTGCGGGCTGCCGAAGTGCGCACATATGAAATGATGACATTTGACGTCCTGGTCTCCCGCACCCCAGCTATAAAGAGATTGCCCTGTGCAAGGACTTCTTTAACGAAGCGCACGTTGACAAACATGGTTGGTGTATTGAATGTCGTGGCATGAATCTTCGTAATGGCTTGGGCCAGGCTTTGACGCTGAGCATCCGTCAATGGGAGGGAGTGATTGACCTCGTAGTATGGCATGATGTCGAAAGTAGTATTGACTGTTTTGTTAGTAGTAAACTTTTTGAGCCAACACAACTGGCGAGGCTTGATTTATATAACCTCTCCACGGCCCGCGTCCCTCTGTTATTACAATGCACCATCTCTCGGCTACATTTTGTCACAAATGTATGGCATCATACTCTCTTGAGCTATGATTTACCTAGGTAACACTATTCTCATCGGAGATGGACTTCAATCAGCAACATGAGTGATCTAGCGAGAATGATTACGCTAACAATGTTAAGCGCCTCGGCACGAATTACGATTAGCCGGAAATCAAACACCTGTCTGCCGCCAAAGAACTGTAACACCATAGCTCTCTGCGTTTACGTATCCCTGACGACTTCCAAAATATTCTCCTGCTATATTCAACTGGCTGACGAAAGTGTTCTCGCAACAACGGTAGCCTCTTTGCACAACCAGTTTGCCGCACCAGTCGCCACAGCAGCACGCCGAAATAGCACACCACCAAACAAGCTACCGACACGAATCTATTTACATTATGCTATAGCCACTTCTGACTATCTATGTGCAGGGAGCTCTGAAAGCGGCAAGGATGCCTGCATTTCCTGCGGCTCGGCTTGTTGCCCGTACCATGCTCTGTTCTGGCCCTGCCCGTCCATTTCCGGCTTCGCTTGCTCATGCAACAAGTTCTGCGCCGCTGCCGCCTGCTTGGCCTTTTGACGACGACGGTGACGAAAGATGACAATGATGCTCGCGGAGCCGACCACGAGTCCCGCCACCACCGAGCCCACGGCGATGCCGGCAATCGCTCCCTTTGAGAGGGACGAGGAGGGGGTGGCACCCGCCTGTCCCGATGCTTGTGACGAGGTACTCGTCGGCGATGGCGTCTTGCTGGTCCGAGGTGCCGACGAGGTGGCCTCGTGTGATGACAAGTCGGATTGTCTAAAGTTGAGCTGGAACATGGGCGCCCACAACGTCGATATCGTGGATGACGAACCATCGGAAATTCTAACAGATACGGTGGCGGGAAACACATACTTTCCCTGAGAAGAAATGCCGTCCGCTCCGCAGACTGCTGTTGTAATAGTCATTTCCTTTGGGGTGGCGTAGCAGGTATTTCCGAATTGATTCCAGTTGGTGCATTCATAGCCACTATTTTGATTTCCCAAGTGGTTAGATGTCAATACATCATATTCAGGAAAGGGGCTGAGGGGGGGAAGCTTATTTTGTGCTTTTGGATCAATGACAAGACGTACGTCGGACAGCAGCCCACAGCAGTCTCTCCCGCGACAAGAGGAAACTGCGTCACCCAGTCTGCACGCTGGCCGAAAATCGCCGTGCAGGCCGTCGTGTACCCGTCAGGGCAGACCAAGCCGGGCGAGTAAAACCCCCACCCGAGCATGGCAGACGACTTGTCCGGGATACCTTCTCTGCGCGGCGGCCAGCAGTTGGCACCGTCCCGGGCCCCGGCAGTGGCATCACAGCGCTCGCCGCGATACGCAATCATGTGGCCCACCCTGTCGGGATAGGCAAACAGCAGCGAGCACGTCGCGGGTGCCGTCCATGTTGTCGTCAACGGGCCGAGTAAATCCAACGACATGGCTTTGCCCAATTGTTTAAATTGGTGGATCTCACAGGAAAGTCCGGTACGCGATTCGTCTGGTTGGAGGAGGAGAAAAAGGGTAATGGCAAAATCAATGGTCCTCCTTCTTCGAGGTGCTCGAGCGAAAGAGTTGAGAGACCAGACGAGGCTGTACACGTGCTCATAACAGGGCGATTAGTGAACATCTCAGTCGGGATGGCTGCGGGCTGCAATAAGCAAATAATGGTAAGCAGAGTCAACAGCTGTGCAAGCTATGGTTGCACATCAGACTCGGCCAGGCTGGGCTCCAGCCTTTTCGTAGTAGGCCTCAGCCACATGATTGTGATTCAGTTATAAAAGGCACTAAATGGTGCACTGCCCCGATGCGCATTCTGGTGAAATGCAAAGGTAAGGCTGCGGAGGCGGAGGAGGAGGAGGAGGAGGAGGAGGAGGAGGAGGAGGAGGAGGAGGAGGAGGAGGGAAGGAAGTAACGAGAGTGGA